CTTCCGTAGTGATACTGCCTCGGAAACCCAAGGAGGGGTCGCTATGAGTCGGGGCCGACTCGACGGCAAATAACAACAACAACAAGAAGTAATGTTCTAGTTGAGAGTGGACAGTAGGCATACCTGTTTTAAGTGTCTTAAACATCTATTAATTTTTTTTTCCATAATTGCTCTATCTCAATGAAATAAACTAGTAATTTTTTGATTAAGGGAAAAATGACAAGAAATAAAGACAATCTTCTGCAAATTGTTCCAAGATGCTCTTTCCAAAGTATCACCTCGGTATTAAGAGTAGTCTAAATTCTTCCTATACGGTTTAGATCAGATCATGTTTCCATTAATACACTGTCTATTCTTTCCTTCAAAAATTTAAGAATGTTTGTAGAATATATATATTTTTTTTTTTTAAATATATATATGTTGTTGTTATGTGCCATCGAGTCAGCCCTGACTCATAGCAACGCCTCCTTGGGTTGCCGAGGCAGTATCACTCCGGAAGTAGATTGCCCTGTCTTCCTTCCAAGGAGTGGCTGGTGGGTTTGAACCGCAAACTTCTAGTTAGCATTCAAGTGCCTTAGGCACTATGCTACCAGAGCTCCTATATATAGATAGATAGATAAAGATATAGACATACAGATAAGATGTGGTGGGAAAAAAAGGTTGATTGGAAACTAAATTTTTACCTCATCACAACTGAGATACTTCAGATACACAAAATGAACCAAAAATCAGGCTTATTTCAGTCAACACACCTAATTCAACCAAGAAACATTTACTGAACACCAACTATGTGCCTATACGACAATCTACCCAATTTGAAAAGATCTGTATATATATCTCTCTCTCTTTCTAAACTAGGAAGACTTGCTGCTTACTTCACTGTTGGCTTTGTAAATGTTATCACTGTGTAACAGACCTATTCCACTGAAGGAAATTAGTACGACAGACAAGGCACAGGAGAGGTTGCTGGTTAAGCATCTTTTTATTTATTTACTTTTTAAATCTTAACTTTTTATTTTATGTCACCTTTTATTTTACAACCTTGATCTATGGCATTGTGGAAAAAGCAAAGGAGCTTTCCTGTATGTGACTTACTCATGATAATATAGCAAACAGCTGTGTTACAGTATTAACTTAAAATACATTGTTTTCTAACCTTTCAAGAACTTGGGAGTTAAAAATAAAATGAGATAAGACTCTCAGAATGTGAGCACAAAAAGTTCACTTCTGAATATAAAAATACAGAAGAAAGAATTAGAAACAATGTTTCCACAAAATAGGTATCTGAAAATAAAAAACCATTTACAAGAAAAGGTGGAAAAAGTAAAAAGCATACACAGTACGTAAAGTTTCTAGTAGTATGACCACAAAATTGCCAACAGAATAACTGATAATAATCCCTCCAAAATAAATTCTCTAAACTTCAGAACTAGAAGCAACTTGTTACCCAGAAAAGATCACCAGTAAACTAGGAATCAGGAGACTGTTTAAGTTTGAACAAATCCAGTTGGTTTTCTGGGCTTCAGTTTCCTCATCCGTAACATGGGTCTGGGAAGGTATCCAGATCTATAAGCTATAAGCTCCTTTGAAACGTGTCCCTTTTCATACTTCTGTGCAAGAAATTAAAATCTCTTCTCAGACACAGTCAGACCTCCATGACTTTTTTCATTTATATCACTTCTCAGAAATTATATTTTAAACACATCTCTTTGGGGAGCATCTTCTGAATAGGACGCTATTTCGGCTAGCAGATCAATCACATCAACCCTAAATGCCTTTTTTTTTTTTTTTTTTTTTTTTTTAAGAATGTGAGGCATTCTGCTTTTGCAAATCCTAAGAACCAATATCTTAAAAAGCAAACACCTCAAATGTGCCCTACTAAAAGTTGGTAAGATTTTAATCAGTTCCTTCTCGGACTATGCTTCAAACACAATAAGGAAGTTCAAAAGGGCTGACATCTAACAAGTCACAACCTGAAGATGAAAACTTGCAGGACCTGAGAAGAGCAGCAGCGAGAAGTGGTCAAAAGCAAACAGGCGGATAAAGTAAATTAATGCTTCACGGGTCCGGCTACATAAACCCGATGGCAGGCACGTCACGGACCCAGCAGAAACTTTGCTTGGGCGAGGGAGGTAGTGTTTACACCCATCCCACTCCAATCCACCGGAAGCCCCCGGGGTCTCCACCTGGTCCGGCCGCGCCCCAGCGGTACAGATCAGGTGGAGGTCCGGAGAGGCCAGAACGGGCAGCTACCGCTGTCTGGATCCCAGGCTTCCGCGGGCCAGCCTGTGACCCCCGGCCGCCTCTCACGTCCACTCCCAAGTCGTGGCTCCGGCAGGCCTCGGCCGCCGCCGCCTCGGCCGAACTGAGAAGCACAGCTCCGGAAAAACAGGCCGGGCACCAGTGCCTTCGCCCTCCACCCCGACTCGGCCTGGCCTAACCTCCCCTGAGGGACGGCCAACTTCTAGCGCGGTGCGGCTGGGCACTGAGAGCTCCCGGCCAGGAATGGTGGGAGATAGTACCTGCGCTTTGGTGCCCGGTCTGTTCCGCCTCAGCACTGCCGTACCCTCCGCCATGACCATAGTGCCAGAGTCTATGCGGCTGGTATCGGTACCCGGATGTAGGGGGATGGCTGCCTGCTCGGGGGCGGGGCGGCAGAGCGAAGCTTTCAGCCTTTCCGCCGGGGAGGGGCGGCGGCCGACGGAAGAGCCGAAGCCCGCGCGGAGGTGGGGAGAAGTCAAGGACGGGACGGGCTCGACGGAGGGAGGGAAAAAACAAAGGAACAGCTTAGGAGGCGGGAGAGGCGGCTTGAGCAGTATCTGGGGGAGGGCGGGTTGTAATTGGCGGAAGGGGGAAAGCTGGACCACTGGTTCCCCAAGCAATTATGCAGAGGCGGTGGGCTAGCCGGAAAGGTCTTGATAGCGGATGGCCGTTGCATTATTGTGCAAGGCCTGCGGCAAGGACGCAGTATGCAAAACCTCATTGGCGTCTCGTTTTTTACATTGAAAGGACACAGCTTGCGACAGCTTCACTAAGCCCATGTGCAAGTGCAGACTGCCACATTTTTCTCCGACAAAACGACTGGTGGATTCCAACGCCCAGGCATTTTGGTGGCAGCCGAGCGCTTTAGTCACTGCGCTACCAGGACTCCCTTGTTGTTGTTGTTGTTATGTGCCGTCACTATACCTAAACCTGCTGCCATCTAATCAATTCCAACTCATAGCGAGCTATAGGACGGAGTAGAACTGCCCTTTACAGCGTTTACAAGGCTGTACATCTTTACGGAAGCAGACTGCCTGCCTCATCTTTCTCTTGCAGAGCGGTTGGTGGACTTAAAACTGCCAACCTTTGGTAGCGTGGTGCTTAAGGCAGTTGACTGGCGGTTCAAACCCACCAGCGACTCCTCGGAAGGAAGGTTGGGGCAATCTACTTCAGTAGTGATACTGCCTTGGAAAATCAAGGAGGGGTTGCTATGAGTCCTCCCACTCGGCAGCACATCACCACCACTACCACCTTTTGGTTAGCAGTCAAATGCTTTAACCAGTACACCACCAGAGCTCCTAGCATATACCTCTCTGTCTCTCTCTCATTGCTGTCCAGTCGACCCAACTCATAGCGACCTCCTCGGGTTTTCGAGGCAGTATCACTAAGGAAGTAGCTTGCCCAACCTTCCTTCTGAGGAGTGGCTGGTGGATTTGAACCACCAGCCTTCTGGTTAGCAGTCAAGTGCCTTAGGCACTATGCCACCAGAGCTCCTAGCATATACCTAGAGAGACATAATGTTGTTCCCAAAACCCTCTTAGGAAAGCAAGATGGAAAGCAGGTCAGCAGTTTGGGAAAATTCCACAGATCTTGTATGAAACCAATCGAATCTCATATTAGGAGGTTAGAGTATCAAATGATATTTCCACCATCTGCTGACTTCAAAGCCAAGGACCTTTTCAATGACAAATTTGTTTGCGTAGATAAAAGACGTAGATGTCTCATATCTCACTGATACAGTGAACATCTGGTATTGTGTTAGGCTGATTTAGAATTAGCTTGTGTTTTCCAAGTCAGAAGCAGTAGAAGGTAATGAATGGTCCTTGAAAGACAGTGAGACTTACATTTTACAGGATTACAAATTCCCTTTTTGCAAGTTTAAATGTTCTCTTAAGTCATGAAATCACAGCAGCTTTAGAAAACTTTTTTTTTTCCCCCTTGCTTAGAAACCTTAATCTTTGGTCTGGGATAAGGAAGGCCTGAGGACATCAGTTAGGAAGACAGTTGAAAGCATAAAGGGTGCATTCAGTAGAATGCTTTCCAAGAGAACTTCAGAGGTCCATGTTTCAGCCAACCAGCCAGATTGTTAACATAGTTACTGAGTGGTATTGAGATGTATGTTGAGAGGAGGGCCATGTCACCAACAGCTTCCAAAGATGGAAACTTCAAACTTTGCTTAGAAGGGTTTTACAATGGGAAGGAGGTTTGCATTCAAGTATGTTTCCTTCTTTCTGGCAGATGTGTAGGCTAGTAAATCCTCAAGAGCAAAGACTTAATTCTATATCCCCAGCACTAGGTCCTAACTATCACAAGATTTATTCATCTAACACATAGTTATTAGGCTTTACCCCAAAAGCCCTGGTGGAGCAGTGGTTAAGGCTCTCAGTTGCTAACCAAGAGGGGGCCAGTTTGAACCCACCAGCTGTTCTATGGGAGAAAGATATGGCAGTCAATTTCCATAAAGATAGAAGCCTTGGAACCCCTATGAGGCAGTTCTGTTCTATCATATAGCGTCACCATGAGTTAAAATCCACTCAAGGGCAGTGGGTTTGATTTTTGGTTTATATAGAAAGTAGAGGTCCTGGATAGTGCAAACAGTTAAGCACTCAGACACTAACCAAAAGGTTGGTGGTTCAAACTGACCCAGAAGTGTTCAGGAAACAGGCCTGCATTTCAGATGCTATCTGCATCTAAAAGTTCAAGCCTTGAACACCTTATGGAGCATAGTTCTACTCTGCACTATCGGGGTCACAATGAGTTGGAATTGACTCAATGGCAACTAACAACAATGAATGTAGTTGTTGTTAAGGTATAAGAATGAAAAAGCCTAGTCCTTAACCATAAATTTCTTACAATCTAGCAGGGAGACAAATGTGCAGATCACCAAATCTCATCTAGTAATGTTTTTGCTGGGATGGAGATCTATGCATGCACAAAGGACAGTGGGAACCTAGATCAAGGGACAATTGAAGGTTGGCTCCTAAAAGAGACATTGAGTGGGTCAGTGAAAGAGCAGAGTCCTGGGTAGGCCCCAGGTCAGTGGACAAACCTCCTCACTTAATCTAAGGAGATTAAGCTTAAATTTCCCAGTTGTATAGTAGTTCATTTGACTCAGTAACACTTAAAAATAACAACATAGTTGAAGGGGTTCAGTATAGTGTTCTTTTAATTTCAGATTTGTTATACTGTCAGCAAAGAAAAATATACCATGGGCTACCAGAGAACAAACAAATCTTTCTTGGATGAAGTACAGCCAGAATACTTCTACAAAGCAAGGATGGTGAGACTTCACTTCTCATATTTGGTAATGTTGTTAGGAGGAAGCAGTCCCTGGAGAAGGACATCATGCTTGGTAAAGTAGATGGTCAGTGAGAAAGAGGAAGGCCCTCAAATAAATGGATTGATGCAGTGGCTACAACAATGGGCTCAAGCACAGCAACAATTGTGAGGACGTGGCAAGGCTGGGCATTGTTTCGTTCTGTTGTACATAGGGGTGCTGTGAGTCAGACTAGCACCTGACAACAACGTATGGTTTCAGCTTATCTGGAAAGAGGAGAAAAACGGATACACCAAAAACTCACTTCTGATGAGATGAATTGCGACTCATGGTGCCACAGAGGGTTTCCAGGCTGTAAATGCACAGAAACAGCCTGCCGCGTCCTTCTCCCGCAGTGCAGCTGCTGACTCTAGTGTCGGACTTTCTGATTAGCAGCTGAGTGCTTACCTGCTGCACCACTACGGTTCTTAAAAATGGATAAGTAGGTGTTAATTCAGGAACAGAATACAAATTCATTCTACTTTAAAAGTCCAATACAGTTTTATTCTAATGTCAACCTAGGCTTGTTCATAATAATAACCTTGCTCTTTAGGAATGAAGTGTCTCTAGTTCATGACCTTCACATTTTTCCCCTCTGTCAGCCTACAGATTATGACCTCCAAACAAAACTGTTTTACAACAAGGGTTCATTTTAGGGTGGAGGAAAGAACATAGTCAGTAATAACAATTACATGTAATACCTGGGTTACTTGAATATTTCTTTTAAAAGACAATAATGGACAAGGAGAACTACATTTTCTCCATTCGTTATAAAGCTAGTGAACAGCACTTTTTTTCCCTCTACTTGTGGAGTTTGAAAGCAGGCATAAAATTAGGATAAATATTCATGGAAGTCTCTTGAAGTCCTAGAAGAAAGTATTTTAGAAATCCAAAATATCATAGGCAATTTTTAAAATATCTATTTAATCTGAAATTCTTTGGGAGGAGGGAATTTTTTAATCCAAGAAAAGTAGTGAATATACATGGTGTGTAAGGTACCAAGCTGAGTGCTGAGAAACATGATGTGAACTAAAAAATATCCTGCAAGTTCAAAGCATAAACAAAAATGACAAACTGGGGTAGAAATACTCATTGCAAACCTATCCCCCAATTTCTGGAATAAATAAAGATTTCATAGGAACCATAAGACCAATCATTTGAGAGGAAAACGGGCAAAAGATGTTAACAGGCAGTTCATGGTTAAGCAAATAGAAATGACACTTAAGCACAAGATACTCATCCTCATTCATAAGGATAAATAAATAAATAAATGATCAGGCTGGCAAAAATATTTTTTTTTTAATCACTATATATTACTGGGGCTGAGAAGAAATTAACAGCCTTGTACATGTCTCATACATTTCTGGTAGGAATGTTGATAGAACTTCTGTGAAGAAATGTGTGTGTGTGTATGTGTATGTGGAGAGAGAGAGAGAGAGAGAAACAGGGAGAGACTAAAATCCACATACCTTTTGACACAGAAATTACATGTCTGGGAATTTCTTAGATCTATTTGTGCACATATGAAAAAAATTTTATGCATAAATTCATTCATTGCAGAAGGGTTTCTAATAGCAAAAGATTAAAACAACCTAAATATCCATTAGTGGAGAATGCTTAAATTAATTATAGTTTGCCCATACAATGTAACATTATACACTATAAAGAGAATGAAAAAAGCTCTTTATGTACTTTATAGATTAATACCAGAGGCAAATTGTTAATCTAGAAAAAGGTGGCAAATGCTGTTTATAGAATGACATCATTTGTATTTTCCTAAAAGGAAAAATGGATATATATACATGTATGTATTTCACACACATTAAGATGCACTCATAGCAACCCTATCTATATACAACAGAACAAAACACTGCCCAGTCCTGTGCCATCCTCCCAATCCTTACTATACCTGAGCCCATCATTGTAGCCACTCTGTCAATCTGTCTTGTTGAAGATCTTCCCCTTGTTCTCAGACCCTCCCTTTTACCAAGCATGATATCCTTCTCCAGGGAATGGTCCCTTCTGACACTACTACCAAAATAGGTGAGACTAAGTCTGGCCATTTTTGCTTCCAAAGAGTATTCTGGCTGCATTTCCAGGACAGATTTGTTAGTTCTTCTGGCAGTCTGTGGTAATTTCCGTATTCTTTGCCAACACCACAACTCAAAAGCATCAACCCTTCTTTAGTCTTCTTTATTCATTGGTCAGCTTTCACATGCATATGAGGCTATCGAAAATACC